GGCGGGAGAGAGGCAGGGTGTACCCTGGATAGGGTGTATCCAGGGTGTACCCCGTCTCTCACCGGGCTAACACACAGATCATATGTTTGATTCAGTTTATATATATTTTTTTCTTATATGGTATACAATAAGGCTTTTATGATACTACTGAATAAATAATACAAGTAGAGTGAATCTGTATTAATCGTTTTGTCTGACTTTGTTTAACTGTGATCAACTGAATGGGAGGAAAGTATAAATGCAGAAAATTTAAATGACAACAAATTTAACTATGTCAAGATACTATTTTAAACTTGCTGCTTTAGCTTAGCTGATCTTAGATTCAACAGGCACTGAAAATACAGTTTAACAACAGTTTAGAGCTACTACTTTAGACTACTCAATCTATACTGCTCAAAAAAATAAAGGGAACACAACATAAGACATCCTAGATCTGAATGAATGAAATATTCTTATTAAATTCCTTGTTCATTACATAGTTGAATGTCTTATTTTCCCGTGTGTTCCCTTTATTTTTTTGAGCAGTGTAGATATACAAACATAAGTATTAATGGACAAATGTAAAAGGTTGCAAAATTACAAATGTAAAGAAAAACAGTTTAAATTTACACCCCACTGCTTTAAAGCTTACTCTTTAAGCCTCCCTCCTCTGTGCATATGTACGTCCCAGACACACAGAACTACTGTTTGTCTATGACCAGCCAAAGTGAGTCTTCTCACTTTTTCCCCCTTCAAAAACAATGGGCTGCAGATCTAACAGGGTACGATAAAGTAGCAAGCTACTCTTAATGTTTTTAACCACTACAAAACTGATGTCTGGCAAAAAGGGGACCAACCACTCATGGACAGTCAGGAAGACTCCCAACCTTCAGTTTTCTATGGATCTAAGCCACAGTGGAAAGCTGAATATGTAGTTTCTAAACATGGTTATTAATGTGAACTAGGGCCACAACTATTATTGTAATAGATGAATATCTTTATTATGTTCTTGATGAATCAGTCTTTAAAAACTCAAAAACTAGTAATAAATGTCCTAAATTATGTATTCAGTTATTACAGAAGATTGGTGTTTGGCAGTGTGGCCTTGTGCTTACACATATTGTCCTTCAACTGGACCAAATTAAGTGTTATCAGGTGTCTGCCCAGCAGATATATCCTTGATCAGCGCCCAAGATTCAACCAGCTCAGGGCGCTGCTGTGTAGTCCAAGATTTTAAATTAATATTTATAAAATGCAGTCTGCCTTTGACTAAAGGGGTTGTGTTACTGCTGCCCATCAAGGCCATGTCTCTGTTTTAGTTTGCAGCATTGAGAAAATGAAGCACTCATGGGTCCTGTTCCTGGTGACTGAAGTAAACAGGAGTGTGGTTTATTTTCTTGTTTATCTCTCTCTCTCTAGTGGATTAAGAACGGAGCCAAGTCAACAAGAAGCACACAGTATATCAATAAACATTACCTTGGTGATCATTAGAGGAGCCACAGTGTTGGTGCGGAAGTTTTCTATCATATTCTCAGCAGTAACGGTATAAAAGTTGGCCAGCACACTGATCCCTGCATTGTTGATCAGGCAGTTGAGCCCCTCGTCTTGCACCAGCTGGCTCACCTCCTCCACAGCCTTCTGTATGCTCTCCTGGCTCACTACATCTGAAGGAGAAAAACATCAGCACTGCAAATCACCAAAACCAAGATGAACGTTATGATAAAGAAAAGAAATAAACCAAGTTCCAGTTTCAGTTTAGTTCCAGTTTCCAGTTTAACTTCAAATATCTCAACAGTGCAAGAAGAATGGTGGAATGCTTGTTTGTTTCTGATGATCTGAATAACACCATGATGGATGGTTCTCAGAACTGACCAGAGACAAAATGGTTCATTACATCATTCACATCAATGCATAATATCCAGGCCTGTACTGTAGACTACGTTGCAAAGTGCGGTGTGTGGGAAACACACATACACAAACCTATTATTGCTGTTTTTATGTATTGTAACATCATTAGTTTACAAATACATCAACCACAGTCTTACCCAAAGTGATGATGTGGATGTTAGAATGTTTCTCTGCCAGTTCCTTAAGTTCCTGTAGGTCAAAAGCACATGTTCATTCACAAATATCCAGCTAGAGAGCAATGGCACCCTCTGGTGTTCGCTACTATCTTTTTAGTTTAGCCCAGTGCTTCTCAATTATTTTCTGTTACGCCCCCCCTTGGAAGAAGTAAACATTTCGCTCACCCCAACTCTCAGCCGCGACTGTAAATACTATCATTTGTCTATAAAATTGTTATAAGTACACCTCTGCATAACATTGTATCCTTATTAACATAAAAAAAAACAAAAAAGAAAGAAATATAGATCAACTTACAACAAAGAATAACTTTATTAACATTGATTTTTAGTCTGTAACAGAAAAGACTTAAAATCAATTTGTCTGAAATTTAAAAAAAGATTCAATCCTTATTTAAACTGTAAACATTTTTTGACCATTTGATACGTTTTCGCTGAAAAAACTCAAGCGGCTTATCAGCGTGATTGGGGTGTAATGTCTTTAAGTGACGCCTTAATTTATTTGGCTTCATGCTGTTCGCTGCCAACATTTTTAGACACAGTAAACATACCGGTCTTTCCTCGTCTCACACCGTAGTCACAGTGAAGCCAAGCGCTACATACGCTTCATCATATTTCCTCGTCTTAGCTTTCGGGAGACTTACGTTTGTCTCATTATCTCCGTCTCTCTCAGGTTAAAAGATAAGGTTGACTCTGAAAAGGGTACCTTGACACCAGTTATTTTTGTATTATTCTTGTGTAAGAATTATGTCTGAAAGAATGTTTTAGCTACACATCATGCATACAACATACACACACATGGAGTTCATCATTTTGTTATGACTTGTGCTCGATGCATGCGGAGCATAAGATATGAGATGGAGACGTCGGACTGTCTTCAGCTCCTGATGTTTTTACAGCTGTCTGTGTAAGGGGTTAGCCCAAAACTGATAAATGTATTAGGCTCTGTGTTTCTGGGTGCTTTTTGCCTGCTCTCTTCTCCAGCAACTTGTCTGAAGGAGGGAGCCCTGGGTTGTGTTCTGTAATCCTTTTTATACATATATTTATATACTGCTCAAAAAAATAAAGGGAACACAACATAAGACATCCTAGATCTGAATGAATGAAATATTCTTATTAAATACCTTGTTCATTACATAGTTGAATGTCTTATTTTCCCGTGTGTTCCCTTTATTTTTTTGAGCAGTGTAGATATACAAACATAAGTATTAATGGACAAATGTAAAAGGTTGCAAAATTACAAATGTAAAGAAAAACAGTTTAAATTTACACCCCACTGCTTTAAAGCTTACTCTTTAAGCCTCCCTCCTCTGTGCATATGTACGTCCCAGACACACAGAACTACTGTTTGTCTATGACCAGCCAAAGTGAGTCTTCTCACTTTTTCCCCCTTCAAAAACAATGGGCTGCAGATCTAACAGGGTACGATAAAGTAGCAAGCTACTCTTAATGTTTTTAACCACTACAAAACTGATGTCTGGCAAAAAGGGGACCAACCACTCATGGACAGTCAGGAAGACTCCCAACCTTCAGTTTTCTATGGATCTAAGCCACAGTGGAAAGCTGAATATGTAGTTTCTAAACATGGTTATTAATGTGAACTAGGGCCACAACTATTATTGTAATAGATGAATATCTTTATTATGTTCTTGATGAATCCGTCTTTAAAAACTCAAAAACTAGTAATAAATGTCCTAAATTATGTATTCAGTTATTACAGAAGATTGGTGTTTGGCAGTGTGGCCTTGTGCTTACACATATTGTCCTTCAACTGGACCAAATTAAGTGTTATCAGGTGTCTGCCCAGCAGATATATCCTTGATCAGCGCCCAAGATTCAACCAGCTCAGGGCGCTGCTGTGTAGTCCAAGATTTTAAATTAATATTTATAAAATGCAGTCTGCCTTGGACTAAAGGGGTTGTGTTACTGCTGCCCATCAAGGCCATGTCTCTGTTTTAGTTTGCAGCATTGAGAAAATGAAGCACTCATGGGTCCTGTTCCTGGTGACTGAAGTAAACAGGAGTGTGGTTTATTTTCTTGTTTATCTCTCTCTCTCTAGTGGATTAAGAACGGAGCCAAGTCAACAAGAAGCACACAGTATATCAATAAACATTACCTTGGTGATCATTAGAGGAGCCACAGTGTTGGTGCGGAAGTTTTCTATCATATTCTCAGCAGTAACGGTATAAAAGTTGGCCAGCACACTGATCCCTGCATTGTTGATCAGGCAGTTGAGCCCCTCGTCTTGCACCAGCTGGCTCACCTCCTCCACAGCCTTCTGTATGCTCTCCTGGCTCACTACATCTGAAGGAGAAAAACATCAGCACTGCAAATCACCAAAACCAAGATGAACGTTATGATAAAGAAAAGAAATAAACCAAGTTCCAGTTTCAGTTTAGTTCCAGTTTCCAGTTTAACTTCAAATATCTCAACAGTGCAAGAAGAATGGTGGAATGCTTGTTTGTTTCTGATTATCTGAATAACACCATGATGGATGGTTCTCAGAACTGACCAGAGACAAAATGGTTCATTACATCATTCACATCAATGCATAATATCCAGGCCTGTACTGTAGACTACGTTGCAAAGTGCGGTGTGTGGGAAACACACATACACAAACCTATTATTGCTGTTTTTATGTATTGTAACATCATTAGTTTACAAATACATCAACCACAGTCTTACCCAAAGTGATGATGTGGATGTTAGAATGTTTCTCTGCCAGTTCCTTAAGTTCCTGTAGGTCAAAAGCACATGTTCATTCACAAATATCCAGCTAGAGAGCAATGGCACCCTCTGGTGTTCGCTACTATCTTTTTAGTTTAGCCCAGTGCTTCTCAATTATTTTCTGTTACGCCCCCCCTTGGAAGAAGTAAACATTTCGCTCACCCCAACTCTCAGCCGCGACTGTAAATACTATCATTTGTCTATAAAAAAAATTCATGTGTTGACATGTCGACTATCTTTACATGCTTGAAAGAATAAAATCAATCAATCTATAGAAGCAGAGTTAAACACGCAGATATACAGTATATCATGTGTTAAAAGCATCAGACACGGTGTGACGGCCACAGGACAGGCAGCTTTGAGAGTAAAGGAGAATTCATGCTTTGCGCAGACCCTTGTGTGTTAGTGCTGGTTGTTTACCTGCGCGCCCGCGGGGTTTCTGGTGGTGGCTATAATCTTGCCCGGTGGGAAACCTCCACTAGCCAGAGTGTCGACTATCTTCAGCCCGAGCCCACGGTTGGCTCCCGTTACCAACACAGAGCCGCAGTTTTTGAAATTCTCGGCACCACTCATCATTATTATTTGCTCAAACTACCGCGGCAACCACTATGGAGCAACTTTTTAAAGTGGGTAGTTATAGCGAGAGTCCTCCTGTGGGCGTGTGTGTGTGTGTCATTTTTATGTGTTGTGCAATTTTCCTGGAGGCTGTCCATCTTTTTTTGTGTGCATATGTAATTTCCACCTGAGCAATAATTGGGTCCATTGTTGTCTCTGCATTCAATTTGAAGTGCTGAGCCTGAGATGGAGGTGCAGTGATAAGGGTGACAGCACAGCTGATGGAGCTGTTAGAATCTAACCTCTTTGTCAGAAATTAACCCAATTCTTTTGTTGGAGCACGAGAAGTGACGACAGGAGAGGACTGTTTAAAATCAACAGAAAGTTTACTGAAAGTCTGATTACAAGAAAGTCTCACAGCGCTGGATTCAGAGAGTCAGAGCTCCCGTAGGAAAACCAACTTCTGAACCCCGAGTCATGTTTTCACATTACATTTATGCATTTTGGGCTAGGTCCGCCCCACGAAACCAGGTGTGTATGTGTTGTCGTATGACTTTCCAGGCGGCAGCCAAACAATGGGTTTTCTTCGCCGCAGACCCCCCATCTGTGCAATCCCATTACATGACAAAGCAGGACCTCCTGCATACAAACACTGTAGTCAGTTTCTACTTCAGTATC